AAGTTCCATACTTTCCATACTACCAAAGAGGATTGTAGGATCACACCTGATAGTCAAGCTATCAGTCATCACAAGAGGTAATTCATATTGTCACTGGATGAGAGACATGCCAGTAAAATGCAGATAGCTGTCCCTGCTTGAATGCTTCCCCAAAAGTCTGTTTCCTATATATGAATCCCCTATATTTGTCCTTAAGAAAAGAATGGAATGTATATATCATCAGATTTTCTCTCTCCTTAAGTTAATTACCTTTGGCATCTGTAGTAGCTTAATTTTTCTTGCCCTACCAATAGGCCTGCTGAAAGAAGCACAGCACAAAGGGTTTTATCTGTGTTATTGATTGGCTAGAAAGTGATGTGTTTGTGACTATTGGAGCTTCTCCAGTGTGTATTTATTTACACTGGGGGAAAAAATCAGCATTACTTGGGAAAAAAATAACTAAAACTTTCATTTAACATTACAAAAGAGAGTATTGCTTAATCCCTGAAGTAGGAAATTGCTTTTCTTCATGATCCATTGCTTTCATACTGTTTCTGGCTGCTGGTGCTGAAGGAAAGAAAAACTGTTCTCACTCTATTTTCACCGTATCGCTTTTCTTATCCGCCACAACAAAAAAATGGAAAAAAAAAAAAAAAAAAAAAAAATTTGGCTGCTAATTTGTTGTTGAAGTAAATACAGGGAGGGGAGAGCCTGGGTAAGAAAAGATGTTTTTGTCTCAAATGGGCACTTGCAAATATGGAAGCAGAGTAAAACTTTATGTGGAAATCTGAAAAGAGGAGATTAAGGATTTGAAGTAGTATATCAAAGCTGAAGTATATGAGCTATCGCTATTCTTTGAGATGCCATTATGTTTTATACCTAAATTCAGCAGCATGCTCCCAGAAGATGAATGTTGCTAAGGAATGTTGTTTTCTTGTGTTCTGATCTTGTACATATATAGAGAGAAGGAGAATGGCAATTAGAAGGAAAATGCATAGCTGGGTGAAAATGCTGGTATTTTGTTTCACCTTGCTTAAGACTCATACTTTTTTGTTAAAAGCACCTATTGTTTTATGGCTTCTAATATGCACCATAAAAATACAGTGTGTTACAGTTTGGTGCTGGAAAATACAATGTAACTAAGGAATGATTATTTAGCTTTGGAAGTTAAAGTACTTAATGATTCCCTGACATTGTCAGGACAGGTCACAGAATGGATTTTAGAGTAATTGTAAGTTACCAGCAGTGGTTTTAGATTTTCCCCTAGGAACAGCAGTAGAAGTTGTATTTTCTCTTTTCCTATCAGTGCTGCCTCTTTTTTCCTTTTTTAATCTGATTGCTTTCTTGGTTTTTGAATCCATTTAGTCTTGCAAACAATAATAAGAGGTTATGCTAGCAAAGCAGTACTCTGAATTGCGATGGCAAGTTTTTGAGACTGGTATCTCACAGAAGAGATGCACGTATGTTTCATTTTGAGTTTTAGCTTGTGCTAGCAAGACCACACCATATGCCCAATAAAAGCTTCATTAGAAAAGCATTAGTAGATTAATCCAACTTACTCTGTGGTTTATTTTATTTAGAATGCAATAAGCTAAGTTCATTAGTTTGCAGGCTTAATGTTTTCTACTGTACCTCAAAGCAACCAGTAACAATTCCATTGAGATTCCCCAGATCTCGCTAACACCTGTCAAGATAAACACATGGCTCTCTGGGGGGATCACCTTGGCAACATAACTGAGGGAATCTAGAAAAAAATAAGTCTTTCACACACAAAAGGGTGTTACACAGTCTAAACTTGATTAATGTGTTTTCACATACATCCGAGGTCATATATCTCTTTAAAGTAGGAAAAAAAGTCAAATCAATCTCTAAAGAACAAATATTTTGGAATGTACAATACTGCATCTGAAATGTATTTTAAAGAACTTGAAGGCTGTAGAATAATTGTGCAATTTGAGTTGAGCCTCAGAAAGGCTGTCTGAGACCAGCAATTCAGTCTCCATCCCCCTAGGGCTAATATATTAGATTACAAGGATTATTGTAGTGGCACTATTTGTGCCACTACATTTAAGATTATGTCAGCATTTTCATTTTAAACCTGTATTTTCAGAGGTTCATAACTCAGCTATAGGAAATTTGTTTGGTGTTACAAATGTGTTCTGCACAACAGTGACACTTTTTCTGGGGAGAAAAAAAGAAGAAAGAAAGAAGCTTAAAGCTAAATAAGTATTTGGACATTTTCAAATTACGACTGCCAAAAGTTAATGTTGTCTTCTTGCAACTCTGCTTTTTAAATTCGGTTCTTTCTGCAGCTGACTTGTAACACTACTGCTGTCTGGAGTCTAAAGAAATGTATTGCACTGAACAAAGAGTAGATGGTTGCATCTTATCCCTTTCTTTGCCAAGATTGAAGCTGGACTAACATGTTCAAGCAAGGCAGGAGGTGTAACTTCACTGTACATCCTCTTCTCGATCCAGGCCAGAAAAGTGAGGGGTGTTGTGTGATGTTCATGAGTCATAATAAGGGATATCTTAGAAATCCTGTCAGGAAACCCTACTCAAAAATGCAGTCCTGACTTTAGGTACTCCACAAATACCATTTAAAGCTCTCTTGGCTACCAGTGGGCTTCCTACAAAAAAAAAAAAAAAAAAAAAAAAAAAAAAAAAAAAATTAAATTTGCCTTGCAAGGTCTTTAAACTCAATTTCCCTATTTTGTGGCTCTTGCACTAAGTCTATTCTGAGCTTTCCTTGACATGGCTTCAATATCTGTTATTGTGCATGGTAAACAGTATCAAGGGCTGCAAACCACTCTGTAATACACACACTTTTCCTATTTCTAGAGGCCTTTATCAACAAATAGGTTTTGCATATGCTTGTACTGGATACAAAAGAGCAGAATACTGGGTTCTGTTATTGGAATTTGTCATCAAACTTGATGACTAATTTACAAGCTATTTTTATGGTGGCTTGCTTTTTGTCCCTAGCTGAAGTGTTTGCTGAGGAGTTCAAATCAGTAGCATTCAAGCTGTACCAGGGATCTCTCTTTTCTGTGGCAATGCAGTGCCAATTCCTGCAGCAGCACTGGGAGAAATCAGAGAGACTTTTGCAGGTTCTGCAGCAGCAGCCTAATTGCCCACAGAATAAACCACTCATGTGGTGGCCCAGAGAGAACATGGATAGAGACCATTTGCTACAGGACTACAAATCTCCTAAATACCTTTATATATGTACAGGTGGATTTGGCCTTTTTTCATATAGCTTTAGATTGGAGTCAAAGGGGGAAGCTACACAAAGAGTTAGAAATCTTGCTGCCATGTTAAACTAAAAAAAAAAAAAAATTAAAAAAAATTAAAAATATGACATTAAGTGGCATTGCAGCACTGGGAGCCAGCATTAGCCAACCCCTAGTGGATTCTGAGCCATCCTCCTCAAGCCAGCTCAAACCAGGGCTAATTCAAGTAAGGATGGGCAAACCTGGCAAAGTTCCACAATGCCCAACCAGGGCTATTTCAGACGAAGAGAGAACTTCTCCTCACAGTTGAAATTCCCCAGGGCAAAATGTTCTCCATAAGCCCCTTCTGTTCTAAATTGAAAAGATCTGGCTTATATGCATGTCTTCAATGAAATGAAACAAAATGAAAATCAGCTTGATTTTGACAGTGAGGAATAGAGAGAAAGAGATTACTTTATACACACAATGTCAAGAAACATTTATTATGAAGATTTAAGCCTATCTGGATGGACAGAAAGACTTATTAACTGTACCAGGATTTGTTTTGAACTATGCATAGAGAGAGAATAGCTACACTACAGAGAAAGTGTTTTCTTTGTAAGCTCTCCTTTCTCACATGATTACCAAAATTTTGAATTACTGTGCATTTTATGGCTGCACAAATACTCCATTCATTCCTTTAGGATCATATTTTTTACCTTCTAAGTCTTCAAATAGTTCATATGATAAAGTTTATTGGCATAAAGTAAACAGCTTCTGCCCTAGGTTATACAGGTTTGGGACACAAACTGGATGTGAATGACAGGCCTTGGTTCCGTATCTTGCAATTAACTGGCTTTTGAAAGGAACAGTCTCCACTGTCTAAAAGAGGAAAGTTACCACCTCCGCTGTTACCAGACATCAGTAAAAGTACTGGGAGATACAGTGTATAGGTCATTAAATTCAGCAGTGTTTACAGTGGAAAGAAGAAACATTAGCTTGACTGTTTTCTTCTAAGCCTCTGTATGTGGGCTGGATAAACATAAATTCTTTGTAATCACAGAATGTCCATGTGTTTTCAAATTAAGGGAGGGTCCAAGCTTTGCAGTGGGGAAAACCTGTAACATAAAAACATGTGTTAAAGCTCTCCACAGCTAATTGCATAGTATTCCTGTAATACACAAACTTGTGGAGTTGTTTTGGGTTGGGTTTTTTGTTTGTTTGTTTGTTTATTATTTTGCTGAACAGCAGTCGAGCTTCAGGAGTTTAAGAGTGGATGTTACAACACTAAGTGCAGGATTAACTAGAGGTGGCCAGGGAAGCCTGGTTGCATAAGGTGGCACTTAACCAAAAGAAACCCTGAGTTTAACTGACAACTTCTGCTGGCCTAAGGCATGGTCTGCACTTCAGTTTTGCTGGTGTTGCTGAAGTTGTCCATCTTAGCTGATCTATCTGTACTGTTGCAGAGGGATATGGTCATACCGGCAAGAAGTATCTGATTTTATTTGAGGAAGTAATGCAAACTGCACTCATGGGAGTACTTTTTTGTTTGTATAAATTTTCCTTGGGAGCATTTGGTGGTTTATAGCATAATGACAAACCAGGGAACGATGTGTTCTTACAATAAGGATATTCTTGCTCAAAAAATTTAGGAGCCTACTGGTATTAACAGACTTCATTTGGTGGAAATACCTTGATTAAAAGTCACATTTACTACCAATGTGACCTGCACAGGGTAAGTGTTAAATGGGACTAACTTCACTGAGCTAAGTTATTGAGATACTAAAAACTACTTTGTAAACACTAGAGTTCATTTTCACATTTTATTTTCTATGTAGTGGAACATTTATTTATTTACACAAAGTCTTTTTTATTGTCTTCTTTTGTTCCACTTCTTTGTTCTTTGAGTGAACCTTCACAGACTGATAGCAGCATGTTGATTGTGTTGGAAGTACAATTCTATGACCTTGGGGATAAAAAGCAGGTTATTTCAACTTCAGTTAGTCCTCAGCTAACAAAAATTCATACTCTTATGTCAGCAGGGGGTAAAAAAGGTGAGCATTTTAAATAAGAAATGCTGCTTACCTTCATTTTTCATAGTATTTACTTGCAGAAGCTTTTAACTTCCTTGTCATTAAAAAGCCTAACTCCAGCTGCCAAAACACCCAATTAAACTTCTGGAATAGAATCACAGAATCATGGGACCATTTAGGTTGGAAGAGACTCTAAGATCCCCATTAACCTAGAACTGTCAAGGCCACTGACTCATGTCCCTCAGTGCCATATAGAAACCTGGAATGGTTTGGGTTGAAAGGGACCTTAATTATGATTCTGTTCCAATCCCGCTGCCATGGACATGGATATCTTCCTCTTGACCACATTGCTCAGAGCTCCATCCAGCCTGGCCTTGAGCACTTCCAGGAATGGGGCATCCACAGCTCCTCTGGACAAGCTGTTCCAGTGCCTCTCCAACCCTCACAATAAAGAATTTCTTCCCAATGTCTAATTTGAATCTCTACAGGACTTTTAAATACTTCTAGGAATTATTAATTCACCATTTCCCTGGACAGCCTGTTCCCGCTGGGCAGCCTGTTCCAATGCTTGACAAGACTTGTAGAAGTTCTACCAGATATCCAATCTGAATTTTCCCTGTCATGACCTGAGGCCATTTCTTCTTGTTCTGTCACTCTGTACTTGAGGAAAGAGACCAACACTCACCTACAACCTTCTTTAAATCAAAACATGCAAAAAGTGTAAGTGTCTGACTACCAGGATTTGCTTCAAATTGGGAAGAAGTTTTATTAGCTTGCTGAAAACACAAAAAAATAAAAAATTGAGCAAGAGAAGATTTTACCTGAATGTCCCTCTTTTGCCTTCCTGTCTCCATCTTGCTTTCATACATACTTCCTTCTTCGCCTTCCTGGTATTCTTTTCATTTTCAATCTTTTAATATTTTCTGCTAATTAATTCTCTCCAATTTCTCACCCTTGCACAGCATTAGATCACCTTTCCCCCCCATGAAACTTGGATAGTCCTCTCTTGTTTGTGGTTCAAAGTGCAGAGCCAGAAAAATCTCAAATGTTGTTAAAATTAGAGTTGCTACACCCAAGGTGCTGATCACATTACCAGATCCAGAAAGAGATGCCTACTTAGAGGGCAGTCACCCCATTCACACTTTAATAGGGCTCTTAAGTAAGAGTTAGATGCCTAAATAGTTTTGAGAAGATTTGGCCTTTGCGTACTCAACTCTTGGTTTGGATGTGCAGCAGCAAAACAATCCATTTATTTAACAGTCCCTAAGTAGTGTTTAATATCATAATGTAGCACCTAAAAATGACCCATTATAATCTATCTGATGAACTTCACTAAGTAGTCTCCAGGCACACATTGAAGCTAGAAACTTTAGTGGCAGTTGTATATGTGTGCTGCATAAATAGTACATATTTAATAAAGTAGAGCACTTAAAAACCCCTTTTATCTTCAGCAAAATATTAAATGAAGTGCCTTGGAAGTACCTAAACATTTTATTCATTTGTCCTTCTTTTTTAAGCACTTTTAGGCCTCCCTGGCACAGTAGATGGCAGATGGAGCAAGAATTTAGATTAAAGTACTCAAACCACAAAAGTATCCAACAACACAGAGTGCTTCCACAAACCCCTTCTGAATCCACACCAAAGTGGATCTTCAAGCAAAGCTGAACAAACTCTGCTCGGGCTGGAAGGGACCTGTGGAAAACCTCTCTCAGCAAGGTTACACACCTAATGTAGCCATGCTTTCCTGAGTGTTGACAGGGAAACTCCTGCTGGAAGGTAGCACAACCTCGACGGCAACCTTAAAACAGCACAGCCGAGCAAAGTTAGTCTAGACAGGACTTGCCAACTGAAATTTTATCGGCACAACTGCCTTGCCAATTGTATCATTATACAGTTGGCAATACCGGCTTCCTATTTCAGAGGAGTGATAACAATTTTAAAGTTCCTTGTCTGTAGGATGTCTAGAATCATTAAGAACAGTCAAGTTAACTACTGCCTGTTTCTAAAACAGCAGCAACATGTGAACAGTTTAATGAAAAACTGGTTCCAGTGACTGAAATATTTTGTTTCCTTAGTCAGATTGATAGAAAACCTAGTGGTATTTATGGATGAAATTTCTAACACACATTACTTGCATGAATAGGAAACATATATCAGCAGTTTTAATTTTATGAGAGCTGTCGAATCCAGGCTGACTTTTCTTTAAGGTTTCATACCATTTTCTCCTTCTTTCCCTAACTCTGAAACTTAGAGAATTTATTGCCTTTTATTTTTTTAGGAGGTGACAGTGCATGACAGTTGAAAGCTGGTAGTTTGGAAAATTGGTGTTTCTTCTCTCACGCGGAGGCTTTTGGAGACAGGTTGGAAAACTGACTCCCCCTAAGCTGCCTTTCCCTCTGGCAAGCCGGGGGTGTTACAGGGCGGCCTGTGCCTCGCAGGGCCGCTCCCCCGGGCCAGGGCGGGTGCGGGCTTCCTTCGGGATGCGCGCCTGCCCTTCCACAGAGAGCAGAAAGGGCTCGGGCAGCGCTGCTCACTGCGTTAAGGCTTTGTTATCATTTACCTCGGCGTCTTGGCAAAACTTTGTGTGCGTGGCGAGGCTGGATGCGACGCGTCCAGGTGGGCAGGGCAGGAGCTGCCGCTGGCTCGCCGCTGCTCCGGGGGTTCGGACTCCTTCCGTCGCTGTGCGCGGCCCCCGGCACGACCCCGCGGCGAAGCTTTCCCTGGCCGGGGGAAGCGATCCGCCCTGGGCTGAGCGGGGCGAAACCCTTTGTCGTTCCTCAGCCTACGCAGCTGAGCAAAGGTTGTGACTTCTCACCCGCGGGAATTAGCGCCTCGGCGAATTGCAGCGGTTCTCGCTTAAATTAACGCGAAATGTATTTTAAAAAAAAACCCACCCCATTCTCACGCCCACCGCTCGCCCTCTCGCTTTCACGCATCCGCTACCCGCACCCATGATCTCATGCTGCTGAAGGCATGGCACAAGATCTACGGCAGGCTGGGAGCGGGGGAGGGAGGGAGGAGAGGAGGGCCGGGAGTGTGCGGCTCGCACACCCTGCTGTGCCCAGGTGCGGTACTGCAGGGGCTGCTCCTCCGCGCCCGGCTCCGGGGGGCGCAGGACCCGCCGCGGGGTGATGGGTTAGCCCTTAGAATAACGACCCTCGGCTTTTAAACGCGACATCGGCTCCCATGGCATCCTCCGCTCCGTGTGTGTGTCTGTGCGAGGATGGTGGTGGTGCTGTAGGGTAGCCCTCCGCCCTGTTTTGGGGGTAGGCGTGGGGCGAGCGCCGCGGCGGGGCCCCGCACCCGGGTGGCGATGCGGGAGCTGCCGGCGCCGCCCTGCAGCTGCGGGGGAACGAGGGGGGCTCAGCCCAGAAAAGATTTTTTTCAGCCCAGCTTGCGGCTGCGGTGGGCGGCCGAGGTGCGGTAGTTGAGTAGTGCCGGAAAAAATCCCGGTAACTCTTTGTTCGGAGCGGTGTGTGTAATTACCGGATAATCACAGCCGGTGCCCGAATAAACGGAGGGAAATATCTGATGGGCGAAGTTTAGGCCAATTAAAAGACCCCGAAATCATTCTTTTTAAAATGAAAGTGGGCTTTCGAGACACTGGTATCTCTGAACTATCGGAGGAGGTGAAGTGCTCCTGCCGTGCTGCTGACTCCGCGGCGCGGGTGGGGAGGAGAGGCGTGTGAGAGTGTGTATGTGTGTGTGTGTGTGTGTGTGTGTCCCCTCCACACCGCCCGAGCCGCGTTCTGGAAGTGCGCGGCTCCCGAAAGGCTGAAGAGAGGCAGCGCGACTGTGTGGGAGCTGAACTCAGCCTCCCTCTTTAACATAGGCTCGTCCTCTGCATTGCATCCAAGCCTCAGCGATTTGCTGTTCGGAGACTGCAGATTTGCATAGCCCTGCTCCTCGCAAGCATGCTTATTTTTATTTTTATTTTTTTTTCCCAGCTTCTTTCATAAGGGTGCACTCTTCTCCCTGAAAACATCCTCGGGTATTACTGTCAATAGCCAGACCACTGAGATTGCCGGAGCAGCCTGATTATTGTCTGGCGGCGTGTGCGAGTGTGTGAGTGTGTGTTCGCGAGTGTGAGTGTGTGTGCGCGCCGGGAGAGAGCTCTCTCGGTGAGGGCTCACCAGTTTGGAGATGAATGGAGGGAAGAGCAGCAGTTTGATTTTTCTCTGCTTTCCCAACGCTGGCTGATGGAGTGGCATCCCCTTTTCTCTTTCTTAGCAGAAATGTGGCATGATTGGCTACACTGTGGATTACTGAGGATGGGGGAATGCTTGGCATCCTCGTAGCCCTTTGCAACTGTGGAGTATTGTTAATGAGCACCAGCCCCGGGAAAGCTGAAATTAACGATTGTTTGGGCACGGGGCTTTTCCCCGCTTCCACCTCTTTGCGAAGGCTCTGAACTGCCTGGATTCTCTGACTATGTCTCGGATTGTTTTGGGTAGAAGAAGACCTGGAGAAAAGGATCCTTATAGGCTTTCCCAAAGGGAAGAGATGGCTCGCCTAGTGCCGTGAGCTGCAGCCAGCGCCGTGTGCAAGTGTGCGAGCGCCTCTGCCCAAAGTTTGCCTCCGTTGCTGTGGCTGCTGCTCCTCCCGAGGACGCCGCGGGCCGGCTCGCCGCGCACCGGAGGATGGGGGGGCTCCTTAGGGGCAGCCCGGAGCCGGGACCCGCCAGCAGCGGCAGCAGCAGCGCCGGCGGCCGCTTGGCCCTGCTCTGGATAGTCCCGCTCACTCTCAGCGGCCTCCTTGGGGTGGCGTGGGGCGCCTCCAGTTTGGGCGCTCACCACATTCACCATTTCCACGGCAGCAGCAAACATCATTCAGTGCCTATCGCTATCTACAGGTCACCGGCTTCCTTGCGAGGCGGACACGGTGGGTTCGGGTGCCGCTCGGTCCCTGCGCGGTCGGGGCGCGCCCCCGCAGAGGTCAGGCGCGGGCTGCGGGACCCCGCGGGCCGGGGCTGCGGCGGCGCTCGGGGGGAGGACGAGGAGCACGGCGGAGAAGGAAGGGCTGCGCTGGGCTGCGCTGGGCTGGGCCCGCCGGGAGCCCCGTCGGGCGGGGTCCGGGCCCATCCCGCTGCTCCCGGTGGGGCGGGGGCTCGGCCGGTCCCGGCCGGGCGGGGGATGCTGCCGGGGCCGCCGGGCAGCCCCGGGGCTGGCGGGGTGTCGGTGTCGCTGCCGTGCGCCCCGCGGGGTCGCTGCGGGGTCCGCGGGCGCGGGGCAGGCGCTGGAGCGGAGCTTTCCCGCACCCCGCCGCAGAGGGAAAGCCCAGCCCGGAGGCGCCCGGAGCTGCGGCCCCCGGCTGGGAGCGCCCCGCCTCGTTCCCCCCGCCCCGTCCCCGTCCCCTCCCTGCCCCGGTGCGGGGACACACGCTCAGGGCAAGCCGCCCCCACGGCAGAGGCAGGGCAGGGCGCCCGGGACCCCCGGCGCGGAGCGAGGGGCGGGGAGGGAGCCGGTGCGCTGCTTAAACCGCTGGTGATGATCGTGCTGCTTCCAGTTCATTACCTTGGTCGAAAGTCGATGAACTAAAGCAAAGGTCAGCTCATTATGCTGGGCATCGGGGGAGCGGTGAGCGCTGACACACGGAGGGAGGGAGGCGATGCCCACTGTAGCGGGCAGCAAAGGGACGGAGATTAAATTCTTTCCAAGTTCAAATACATTTTGGTTAAAAGCGACACTGCTCCGGTAGTTAGTTTCTGAAGTGACGGGAAGCTGCTTCAGTGCCTTTTGGAGAGCCCCGTGCAGTTCTCTTTCTTTTTGCACGCAGACTTGCGAGAACCTGCACATCAATAGGTGCAGAATGGTGTGCATACATATGTTCGATAGTACCAAAAGCTGTCAAAGAAAGCGAAACACCAGACTGTCTTTTAAGGATTTAAAGCCTCCCTTTGTCTCCGAGGGAGGAAGCGAAGATACAGAAACCCCCTTGTTGCTTTCTGATTAGATTATACAGCTTCATTCTTCTTCATTTTCTCATCTTGCCTTGTTTCATTTGCACGACCATGCGATGTCATTTACAGGCTTTGCAAAGTAAAAACCAGATCTCGTACCTAACCTCTGCTTCTCTGTGCGAGATGACCTAGTTGCAGGCACGAGGTAGTTAGGAATTATTGGATTTTTTCCAGTGATTAACAATGCCAGTATTGGTGGAAACGGTAGCATTGTTTACCTGAAAATCCCCACTCTGTGTTAAATACCCTTTGATACATAACTGCTAGAAAAGACGAGGTGCACAAAAATGCCTCTTCTTAAGCGTTTTGTTATTTTTTTTTAAAAACTTATACGACTGGTCTAATTAAAAGCAAAACAATTGAGAAATTCGGGCCACCACTCTTCTCTGTAGTGCACTTGAGGCAGTGCAAGATTAACAATGCTGCATGTTCTGTAACGTATGTGCTACAGGGGAGAACTAAAGATGTATGTGTGTGCACATATGTGTATATGCTTATTATTCTCTAAATTTCTACCCATATGAGGATATGATGTAGGGGCTTACTATCCATTTGAGGGAAGGCTAAAAGGATGAGAGGAAAAGAAACACGATTGTAGAGGTACCAGCTACAATTCCTTAAAAAGCATTGTAAAATCACATCTTTTGCCAGTTTTTGAAACCATTACCTCAGACCCAGTCAAAGGGTGATGTGTAAAAAGGCAGGTTTCTCAGAAGAAATAAGTCTTGTTAAAGAAAATGTAATATGAAGAGGTGGAGCTGCCACTTAAGGACATCATAGGGAAGCCCAGGAGCCTCTCCAGAAGTTAAGTAGCTGATTTTATGAAAAGAGGGATGTTCTCTGTCATGAAGTGGCATTTCAGAATGTTTACTTGATAACACAAAGTGTCTTTGCTTTCCTGTGTTTGTGAGAAATTCTGCTATCTGACAGCATTTTAAAGCATTTAACTCTTTTCATTATAAATTCTTCAGAGAAGTGTTCCCATTTGCTTCTGTAAGCCTGACAGAAGCATTTTCTGTCTCAAGCTGAGCAGTGTTGGACACAGTTCCTGTGGAGCCCAACACTGCATCTCTAAGCATCTGTCAGAAGGAACTGGGTTAGGGAGAACAGAGTGTGTGTGTGTGCTTGTTCCTTACCTGCTCTTCTTCAGTGTCCCTAGCCCCTGCTGACTTTGCCAGGTGAGAATGTGCTTCTCAGGCTTGTATCCCTCAACCTTAGCTCCACTCAGTTTTGCAGGTATTTTGTTCTAGTCTACAACAAACTGTACATAAAAAAATTGCAGGTTTATGGTGAGCTCATAGAAGCTTTTTTTTTTGTTACTTTGTCAGCTTTTTGTAGCATCACACCTGCTAAAAGTAGAAAAGAGCTTTTAGGACAAGTCAATTAGTCGATCCCAAATGGAAGCATTGGTCTCTAATATGGTGAATTAGAAGTGTGAAAGGAAGGAGAAATGATCACTTTGTTCAGGCACTCAATAAGCGTCACCACAGTCCTCAGACACCCACACCCTTCCCCTTTACCCTTGCCACTGGCTAGCCCTGACGCCCCCACCCTCTCGGGTTTAATTTTTTTATCTTTCAGTTTTCCTTGGGCCAACACAATTTCAACTAGTAGTATAAGTAAAGCCAAAAGCCCAGCATGGTTGGATTTCTTCCATTTATTAAAAAAAAAAAAAAACAAAAAAAACCAAAACCACAATCTTGCTGCTAATATTCTCATCAGGTAAATTTGCTGGGATTTTGCTTAGTAGTGTGATCTCATGTGGTTTTAGTGGACAATATTGTGACTCACAAAGACATAAACAGAATCTCAAACAAGCAATTAGCTCTCCATATTAGGCCAAAAAGAGTTCAGCACACAGTCTTTTAATACACTAAAAGTCAAAATTAAGCATCTTTCAAACCTGACCAAATGATTTTTCAATTTTGCTTTCTGACTCTCATTAAACTCAGGTGAAAGATGAGTGAAAGATCTGAAAGTTTAACCACACGAATGAATAAGAAAATAATTCTGTGGATCACGACATTAACAATGTAAAGTCCTGAGAAGTAAAAGAAAGTGTAATGTTCAGAAATCTAAATCATACACCTCTCAGCCCTCACCAGTGGTTTCTTGTAACATGTGGTTTATTTGATGATTTGTGTCCTTCTTGATCCATTTAAGAAGGTGACTATTGCTTTCTTTATAGCTATATCTACCATGAAGTCTGGTTTTTCGTTTTCTTTTGAGTCAATAGAACAGTTCAAAC